CCCCCGGACCCCCGCCGAGGCCCCGGGGCTGGGGCTCGACAACCCTGGCGATGGCCAGTGAATAAAGTCGCGCTTCTTGGACGACCTTGAACAGTCCATTGCACTTCGTGTCGTTCTAGAACCTCATGTCATCCACCCACAACTTCGATCTCATCCCGTGCATTCCCCCGCCGTTGCCTATTCACCAAGGCTCGTCGTCGTCGCCTTCCCCACGACTCTCCGCGGTTGCTGCAATCGCCGTCGGTCTAGATGATCCCGCCACGGCACCGCCTTGCGATGCGATGGGGTCTTGTCGATGTGCACCGTGGTCACATCCTTGCACCACCACCTCCACGCCCCCTCCCTTCTCTGGAACTGCTTGGCCATGTGGTGTGGCTGGGGGTGATTGCACCCACGTGGAATCTTGCGCGTCAGGCAGCGCAGTCACTGGTGTCCTCGCAATGCCCCTCTCTGCGGGCGCCGTCTGTGGAGCAGCATCCAGTTGGACCTCCCTCGCCAAGTGACCAGCGTCCGCATCGATGACGTCGTCAGCCTTGCAAACCCCCTCCTCGCCTCGGGGTTGGGGAGCAGATTGCGGTCGCGGCTCGTTTCTTCGAACCGCTCTTTATGCACGCACGGACGCTTGCCTGACGGCTTCCACCTCCGTTTCGGACACGAAGTCGTTGTCGTCGCCCGCGCCCTCGAAATCCCTCACCCACTTGTCATCCCTCGCGACACCTCCCCTCAAAGGGCCCTCTGCAACAGCCTGGAAGTTCTTGTTCTTTGGTTGATGATGTCCTTTCTTCACAGCCACAAACGCTGCCGCTTCCAAGTTGTCTCTCTTCTTGCCCCTATTACCATCGTGTGAAGACATGGTGAAGACGACGAGCACGATGACGGAGAGCAACGACGGCGTGAAGTGCGCAATCGGATGGCCTGCGTAGGTGACGTGTCCGAGGCAGCGATGTGTGCTGGAAATGCCCTGTTCGCACAGCCCAGCAGGGGAGAAGACACCATGCTGATCCGGGCCAACGCGACGACGTGGACGGCAGACTGGCGGCAGGTCCTTGCGCGGATCACCAGGCGCAAATGGTGGGAGACACGATTGGGTGGGATGGGATGCCACGCGTGCCGAGGTCACACGACACCACAGTTTGTGGTTTGCTAGCGGCGGCAATGGCAGGCGAGTGTGCACACGAACGATGAATGACACGTTTACAATGTTGCGCAACACGAAGATTACGTTTATGCCCTTTGCACAATGGACAATCTTGGCGTGAGCAGCGCCCGTCCATTTCCTTCGGCATATATGGACAGGCGATAGCGACACGTCTGCCTCGACCGTCGTGCAGCAGGGCCTGAGCGTCCACCAGTGCGTACGCACCCACATCGTAGACCACTTTGGTCGCCTGATCTGCAGTCATCCACTTTGGAACCCATTCGTCATTGTGGAAGACAAAGGGACACCGCGCGGTGGTCCCTGCAAGTGCCACCCGCCACCACCCCACTACACCCCACGATGGACGCATCCCGAGCAACTGGCAGCAAAGATAAGCCCAGCCACCGTGCCCCCACGAAAAGAGGGCACATACCCC